ATGATATTTAAAAATAATTATATAATAAATAATGTTTAATTATTTACAGTTTATATTAAATAAAAATTTTATAATTACATCAGAAAAAAGAAATACTTAACTAATAATAATAATAATAATAATAATAATAATAATATTTATAGGAGTTTAAAGAATTTCATTTTTCTTACAAATTTTTTAACATTATAGGATTTGGGCAAGGAAAGAAAAAAAGAAAAGAAAAGATTTTGTTAAGAATGAAAGAGAAAAATGCAAGAGAAATGTAAGAGGTTTTAATCGTACTAAATGGAATATGGGAGAAAAAGAATGAAAAGGAATAGAAAAGATTTTTTTTTTGTTAAGAAAGAAAGAGAAAAATGTGAGAAAAATTTGAGAGATTTTAATCGTACTAAATAGAATATGGGAGAAAAAAGAATGAAAAAGAATAGAAAATATTTTGTTAAGAAAGAAAGAGAAAAATGTGAGAGATTTTAATCGTATCAAATAGAATATGGGGAAAAAAAGAAAGAAAGAAAGAAAGAAAGAGAATTATAAAAAACAGCAAATTTTACCAATTTTACGAAAAGCTACCAATTTTGCCATTAGTAAACTAAAACTCTAAAAACTTTCAATACATTCATTTTGCAAAACGAAAATTTCTTTAAGTTTTATTTAAAAAAAAAAAACGGAAAAACCGGTTTACAACAATTTCAAACGGTTTTTTCCCCCCTTCTTTCCGGTTATTAAACAAAAATTTTCCTCCACTACTGATTAAAATAATCATTTATCTTCATGATAATTTCCTTCCCATTGCTTTTTTGCATTAGTAACAGATAAAAATAATCATTTATCTTTATGATAATTTCCTTATCATTGCTTTTCTGCATTAGCAACTGATTAAAATAATCGTTTATATTCATAATAATTTCCTAGTCATTGCTTTTTTGTATTAGCAACTGATTAAAATAATCATTTATCTTTATGATAATTTCTTTATCATTGCTTTTTTGTTCCTTATCATTGCTTTTTTGCATTAGTAACAGATAAAAATAATCATTTATCTTCATGATAATTTCTTTATCATTGCTCTTCTGTATTAGCAACTGATAAAAATAATCATTTATCTTCATGATAATTTCCTTATCATTACTATCATTCATGATAATTTCCTTATCATTCTATTCTATTCCATTCTATTCTATTATACTCTGTCCTACTCTATCCTATTCACAAATGAAAATTATAATAAATTGATATTATATCACAAATGAAATTAATAATAGCAAATTGATTATTATATCAAAATGAAATTAATTATAATAACAAATTGATATTATAATAGTATTTCAATCCAATTAAATCGATTAATTGAATAATTAATAAAAATGATATTAACTATTAATTAAATCCACAAATATATGCTAATAAAAAAGATTTTTAAATTTCCAAACTTAAAACACTTAAAATTTTTAAGCTTTATACTTCAATAATCATATGTTAAAAGTTTAAATTAATAAAATTTAATACTCTCTCCTAATATCTTTTCTTATCAATGAAGAACAAAAGAGATTAGTCAAAAATTAATTGATTGATAAATTAAAATAAATTCTCTCAAAAATCTTCTTCCTATCTTTTTACAATTGAAGTTATCAATTTTAATTAATTGTTCTAATTATTCTCGCACCTTTTCGATTCCTTCATCTCTCTTATTTTTACCAGTTTTTAGTGATTCTTCTTAGAGTTCAAAAATATTACAGTATTATTTTGATCAAAAAGTACACCTTTCTGACTGTAACTAATTAATGTATTGATTATTTAAAACAAAAAAAAATTTGAAGTGAAGAAGGAAAGACAAGGAAGTTTCAATCAAATTGACAAATAAATGTTTACAAAACCTTTCTTAAGTATACTAGAAAGAATTTTTGGGGAAATAAAAGGATAACATTATCATCATCATCATTATTATATTATTGCTATATTACTGTTACTAATGCTACCATCATTATCATCATTATTATTTATATTACTATCATTAACATTACCATTATCCTTATTATCATTGCTAATATTACTATTATTAATACTACCGTTATTATTATTATTATTAATCTTACTACCATTAACATTACCATCACTACTATTATTTTTGATATTACTATTACTAACACCTCCATCGTTGTCATTATTGCCAGTAACATTACTATTATTAACATTACCATCATTATTATTGCTATTGCTAATATTATTATTAATACTACTGTTATTATTATTAATTTTACTATCATTAATGCCGCCATTATCGTTACCATCATTATCACGATCCTCATCATTATTATCATTATCATTACTATTATCATCATGATCGTTATCATTGTTATCATTACCATTATCATTTCAGATGCTTGAAAAAAACAGAAGGAAAAAGAAAATTTGCATTTACCACATAATCAATCAACAGATAGTGGGATTTTTTATTCAATAATCACGACCACTAAAATTACATAATTGAAATCCTTGGAGACATTTCTTTTCTATCCCTTCTTCTCTCTCTCTCTCTCTCTCTCTTTCCCTCTCTCTTTTTTTAGCTCAAAAAATTTGTTAAATTTTTTTTGCTAACTAAAAATGTCAAATTTTAAAAATTATTATCATTTCATATGAGAGATAAAATATAAAATCACATTTACTAATTAAATTGTTATCGTTGCTATTGCTAATAATATTATTATTACTACCGTTAATATTATCATTATTATTATTAATATTACAATCATTAATATTGCTATCATCGTTACCATCATTATCATATCAAAAATAATTTATAAAATAACTAGTCAAATTCTAATTTATGAACTGGAATTATAAAAAATAAATTCTTCAAATTATTCGATAAAAAAGTTAGAAGAGAGAAAGAGAGAAAGAGAGAGAGAGAGAGAAAAGAATAAAACAAAAATAATATATCTGATATTTAATAACATAATCAATCATACATGTATTTATCAAAAGATAAGAAATTTTTAATCATAGCAAAACGCATTGGGATTTTACTTTCACAATGATAAATCCTTTTTAAATATACAAAATGGAATTTCAAACTTAAAATTTAATCTTCAAAAAGCAAAATTCTTTTTGCTATATGATCTTGAAATTTCAGTGTACACTTATACCGAAATTTAATAAAGTTAAAAAATTTAAACTTTCAAAATATCTTCACCGTATATATTTGCATGATTTTAAATTTCAATATATTCTATCCTTAACAATATTCTATCATTTCAGATTAAAACAAAAAATTGAAATCACATTAATTAATTAATTAATTGAATGGTGTTAAAAAAAAGAAAATTTATAAAGTGATAATAAAAATTTGAACTTTTTTCCTCAGTGTTTTACCTGGCCAAATTTTAAATTTTGAATATAAAATATGAAAAATTAATTAATTAATTAAGATATGTTACCCAAATCTAAAATATATTATCCAATCTATAATTAATTAATTAAGATACGTTATTCAAATATAAAATATGTTATCAAATCTATTAATTAATTAATTAATTAATTAATTAAAGAATGTTATCCAACTCTAAAATATGTTATCCAACATATTAATAACTAAATTAATGAAAATATGTTATCCAAATCTAAAATATGTCATCCAATCTATTAATTAATTAAAGATATGTTATCCAATTTATAATAATTATATTTTGCAAAAAAATTTCAAAAATTTATAATTTAAAATTAGATTTTGTGTATCATAAATCGGATAAAACATATCTTAATTAGCAAAACTTATTGATTTATCCATTCAAAACATTATGTTAAAACAAAAGAGAAAGTAACATTATGAATAACCTTTTTAAAACTATTTGTTAATTTCAATAGTATTCCATCAATTTAACTAATTCCCACTCAAACATTTATTTCTATATGTAAGAAATAAAATGAAAGTTAAATAATGGTATTGCATTAAAATGGTTTAAGTGTGATCATTAAACAATGGAAGAGAGAGAGAGAGAGAGAGAGAGAGGGAGAGAGAGAGAAGAAGAAGAAACTTTTAAATTTTAAAAAGGAAAAAAAATGGGCAATTTCTTGAATTTGTCTAAAACAAGAAAAAATGGAAACATCCATCTTCGATAATTCATTTCTTCATATATCGTTTAGTTGTTGTAATTTTACTTCCTCCCAATAAATTAGCATTACATTTCGAATTTATAGCAATTTGATTTAAAAAATTTCACAAATTAATTATTTATTTACAAATTAATTTGATTAATTAGTTTTTCACAATTAATTTGATTAATTTAATTATTTATTCACAATTAATTATTTATTATGAATAAAATGGATTTTAAATTCTTTCTGTTCATTTTTTAAATTTTATTTTGTATGCTTTTTGTACACCCCTAAATTACATATAATAGTTACTATCAATAATATTTCAATTATATTTCTAATATTTAATAGTTAAAATATCCTATATGTTTTTTTTATATATAATTATAATATTTAATAAATCCTGTATGTTTTTATATACCTTTAAATTACATATAATAGTTATTATCAATAATATTTCAATTATATTTCTAATATTTAATATTTTAAATACCCTATATCTTTTTATATATAATTATAAAATTAATTAAATCTTATATGTTTATGTATATATATATATATGTATATCCTATATGTTTTTATATAATTATAAAATTTATTAAAACATTCTCAAAACTATTTCATATGTAAAGAGAAAAGAATTTTATTTGTGTAATTATGAAATTTGTCAAAAGATTCTCAAATTATACATATAAAATAAATATCATAAATCAATGAGTTTGGAACATAAATTTGAATATATTATAATTATATTAATTAATTTATTCTATGATTCCATAACTAAGCAAGTAAATAAGCAAGTGTAACAAATTCATATGTACATTTGGGTAATAATATATTATAATTATATTAATTAATTTATTCTATGGTTTCATAAGTAAGCAAGTAAGTAAGCGTAACAAATTTATATGTACATCTGGGTAATTATAATTTCAATTCAAATAATTATAACCATAATTAATTTTAAAATCTAAAAAAAAAATTTAATTTAAATAATTATAATTTTAGGAACAACAAAATTTCATATTACTGAAATCTCGATATCGCATAAATTTTTTGCGAATTAATACTAATGAAGACAATTCCTTTTTTAATCATTCTTTTTCGTTTGAAAAGTGAAATAAAAATAAAATGCACCTGATCGTAGCGGCTTTTAAATTAGAATAATTAACGAAGACATTTCAAGAAATTTTGATACCTAAAATATCTGCTCTTTTTTTAACGCTGCATGGATGGATATGTTTCATTGCACTAAAGAATTCGAAAGTGATGAAGAAAATTTATCAATAAAAATTTAGCATTATATTTATCTTTTTTAATATAATGGATAAGAATAACTGATATGTTAATTATTTGAATTAAAATAATAAATTTGATTAATTTTGAAAACAATAAATTCGTGTTATTATTAGTTTAACAATTTGTTGATTTATATATATGATCAAAAATAGTGATGAAAAATCTCTTAGGAATATTATCACATAAATCATCAATTCAATTCAAAAAATTTAACAAGAAATGAATAATTAAAAGATATCAAAAATAAAATAGAAAAAGTTAACGAAACAATAACGCTAACAACAATTGTGATAAATAATTACAATTAACAATAACAACAACAACAACAATAATAATGAACAATACCAACAATTATGATAATAACAATTAACGATTAACAATAACAACAATAGCAAAAGCAACAATAATTAATACCAACAACTATAATAATAACAACAATTAACAGTAACAACGATTAACAATAATCAATACGAACAACTATGATAATAACAATTAACAATTAACAGTTACAATAAGAACAACAACAACAATAAGCAGTGATAACAACAACAATAACAACAACAATATTAACAACAACAGGAACAACAACAACAGTAAGCAATAATAACAAAAACAACAGCAACAGCAACAACAACAATAACAACAGCAACAACAACAGCAACAGCAACAACAATAAGCAATAATAACAGCAACAATAACAACAGTAAGCAATAATAACAACAATAACGACAACAATAACAACAGTAAGCAATAATAACAACAACAGCAGCAACGACAACAACAGCAACAACAACAGCAACAACAACAACAACAGCAACAGCAACAACAACAGCAACAACAACAGCAACAACAACAGCGACAGCAACAGCAACAGCAACAACAACAACAACAACAACAACAACAACAACAACAACAGCGACAGCAACAGCAACAACAACAACAACAACAACAACAACAACAACAACAACAACAACAACAACAGCAACAACAACAGCAACAGCAACAACAGTAAGCAATAATAATAACAACGACAATGAAAAAAGTGAGTTGGAAAGTAGAAATGAGAAAAATGTTGAAATGTGATGAATTTAATTGAATGAAAAATATTGGAAAATGTAGGAAAGTGTGACATAAAAGTATCACAAAAAAAGAAAGAAGAAAGTATCGGAGGAGAAGAAAAGATTAAATAAATGGATATTTTATAGAAAATAAAAAGGGAAGGAATGAAAAAGATAATTTATGCAAGTGTTACTCATTTATAACAAAGAAAGAAAGGAAAAAAAGAGCAATTGGGAATAAGGCCTTAAATGATAATGGAACTTTTGAAGTATCGTATGGCAAAATTTTAGGCCTTAATTCAACAATAGTTTTAATAAAGGCCTTTCATCCCTTTCTTCACTATCTCTTTCTCAATCTAATAAACATATATTATATGCAGAAATATTTTTCCCCTTGGCTTTTCTTTTTCTTTTGTTAATTTAATTTGAAATATTTATTATAAAAAAAATATGTATAATTTATTACTCAAAATGATTTATAGATAGTAAGAGAGAGAGAGAGAGAGAGAGAGAGAGAGAAGGAAAGAGCGATAAACAGAGAGGGAGAAAAGGAAAATAAATTAAATGAAATTTAAATAATATTAAAATACGAATGGCGAATGATTTATTATATTAATAATTATCAAAAGACAAAAATTTCAACTCTCAAATGATATTTTTTACTAAATTTAAAATTAAGGAATAGTTAATCAAAAAGATATTTATTGCTAATTAATATTTCGAATTAAGAAACAATACATTGCCATTCCAAATGATAAGAATGAATAAAATTATTTCGAATTAATTCTCATTAAATGTTTACAATTATTATATCGCAATAATTTATATATCCATTTTAGATCAATTAATTAGCAGTAATGGCTAGTTGCTAATTTTATAATTTTAAACATGTAAATTAAATGAATTAAATCATTTCTTACACTGATATATATTTATATAGATATTTCAATAATTATATAACCTATATGAATAAATACGTGACCTAATATTTATTAATAAATACATGACCTAATATTTGGCATTGTAAAAGCATATAAATTAATTAAAAAACTTAATGAATCATTCTTTTTTTCTCTTTTTACTTTTATTGATAAATGAAATTTTTTAAATTTTATATTAGCAAAAATTACATATTAAATATTCGTATAGAGAAATTAATTAGCAATAATTAATGAAATGGAAAAAAAAAATGATTTGAAATTTTGCAGAAAATAAAATTACTATTATGTAAGTATGAAATTATATAGAAAAGTGAAAAAGAATATGCAGATAAAGTCTTCAATTTTATGCACTAATTAATTAATTAATTAATGAAAGTTAAATTTGATATTATTTTAATAACTTAAACGTTCACAATAAAATTAGCTAAACGTTGAATTTCAATAGAATTTTTCTTTAGTAAAAAATGTAAATATGAAATTATACAGAAACGTGAAAAAAGAATATGCAAATAAAGTTTTCAATTTTATGCGCTAAAAAATAATTAATTCATTCATTCATTCATTATTATTAATTAATTAATTAATTAATTAATGAAAGTTAAATTTGAAATTATTTTAATAACTTAAACGTTCCCAATGAAATTAGCTAAATATTAAATTCGAAGAGAATTCTCTTTAGTAAAGAAAGATAGTAAAGGAAGTAAGTAAAAGTAATTATGGGATCACAAATTTAATTTAATTCATTCATAACAAATCATTCATTCATTTTCTCTTTCGCCAAAATTTTCAACGAAAAAAATTTTTGATGAATATGAGATCGTTGATTGGAAATTTTAAGTGGAAATTAAACAAATGCATCAATTTTGTTTCTTCTTTTTGTTTAATTAAAATTTTAATTTGAGAAAAAATTATTCGAATATATTAAAATAGTAATATTATAAAATTAATTTGTGATTAATTTAATGGATTAAAAGAGTGATATTATTAATTATTATTATTTATTATTGTCATTTATTATTTATTTCTTGTTATCGTTATTATTATTATTATTGTTCATTATTATTATCATAATTTATTATTATTATTTATTACTTCACTATTTATCATTATTATTGTCATTTGTTATTTATTTATTATTTACTGTTATCGTTATTATTATTATTATTATCCATTTATTATTATTATCATAAATTATTATTATTATTTATTACTGTTATTTATCATTATTATTATTAATATTATAATTTATTGTTATCCTTACTATTATTATTATTATTATTATTATTATTATTA